GTCTTCACGGGAGGGGCTCCGGCAGGTCAGACTGGCGTCCAGGCGGGCACAAGCGCGGGGGGGGAGGTCGGGTTAGGGTCGTGCTGTGCAAGCCTTTTTTTATTATATACTTATTTACTGTTATTAATCCTCAAGCGTGTCTAACTGATGCAGTGAAATCACAGGCTAGATTTCGAAACGAGCCAAGAGGAAGAGAGTTTATGTACTAGATGGATTAAGTCACTTAATTAACGCGGCGTTTCGCTTTGTTTGCTTCTTTATTTATTTATTTATCAACCTTCATATGACTCTTTAGAGCAGGCTCGCTTTTGCCCGTTTTGATGGATCAACAGCTGATTTCCTTTAAGTCGAAGATCTTCTGTAATGCTGCAGGTTTAGTGTTCCTGCTTATTGCTGACACACCTTTTGAGGGTTTTCCGTGTTACAAAGTAATGCTGTATTGCTACCTTAAGTAACGTGATTTAAGAGCCAGGGGTGAGAATTTCTGAATGTCAATGGCAGGTGGTTCTTGAGGTGAGTCTTAGCCAGTGCTAGAAGCCTGTCGCCGTCGCCTAACAAGATGGTCCACAGCCGTGCTATGTTCTTGACGCTGTATTTATTAATGTGACTTCAAAGGCAAGTAGCGAGCAGCTTTACGGATGCTGTACGAGCCAGTGTTCTCTAATTTCAGTTGGACCTCACGTGGGTAAAGAAAATGATGAATAATTATTTGTAGAAATTGTGTAAAATACACACTTCTGGCAATGTCACTAAGTGTTAAAAGCTAAGTAGTTTTAAAAATGTTTTTCTTTTTAAGGTATAGATCCTAATTAAACTGGCTCCAGTTCTGATTTTGTAAGCATTTTAAATTACAAGTTAATTTGAGAACTTCTGTTTTGTGTAGACAGTGAAAACTTAGAGGTTTTGCATGATTTTCTGCTTTTGTGAAACTTGGTGTAATATTTAAGGTATTCTAAATGATATTTCATAGCTGTTAGGTATATTGCATTTGAGACAACATGATGGAACCAAGTTCATCTAGTTTATAAACTGCAACAAACTCATTTGTATTCATGGATTGTCCGTAACATGCATATCAAATTTTTATCTCCTGACGTAAATTTGCAGGGCTAATTGGAAATTCTGATCCACTGTTGGCATCAGATCAGACAACTGTTATTTATGAATACTTTACACTGGGTGATAGTGTTTACATCATGAACAAGCAAATCATGTTTCAGCAATAATTCCTTGTAGATTGCAGAAGAAAGGGTGGAAAATTTGAGTGGGTAAGTAGCAGCAGAAAAACTGATCCGTAAGAAGATCTGAGCTTGGAAATCTGGGAGCTTTGAAAGTTATTAATGCATTTTCAAAGAGTGACTCTCACTAAATAAAATCATATACCATATTGGACTATTCAGGAGATGGATGCCTGTATCTTAAATCATAAGAACTTCTAAACAATTGCCAAACAATGAGTAATACACAGCACAAGTTTTATTTGGTTTCTTAAGTCAATTAAATTGTCAGTCTTTTGTATCCTGAACAGTTATGAAACCTATTTCTTCCAGAGGGTGTTCTGCAGGAAAAAAAGGAAACATTCGCCGTTTTGGTTCCATCTTGTCCAGGACTGGTTTCCTGTCTGCTGTCAGCATGGCAACAGCATCACGTAGAACTGTGTGGTCTGGTATTCTTTGGATGCGTTCATTGGCAGCCTGTAAACAGGCCTCGGTACAGAGTAAGTAGCGATGATATTGTATCAGAGTACTATATTCAAATTTGTTTTTCCGAGGCTTCTCTCTATACTAAATCCACAATGGTGTGTAAAGTGACAGAGGCAGAGAAATGAATTTTTGTTTGAGCTGGATCAAGTTTGATGCCTCTCAGGGCTCAAAGGGCAGGTGCCTCAGCCTCCAACCGACTTGATGGCCCTTCCCTGAGCTCACCCCAGTTTATCAATGTCTTTCCTGTACTGGGGGCAGGCAAAACTGGCTGCAGTGTCTCGATGTGGCCAAACAAGTGCTAAGTAGAGGAGGAGAGTCGCTTTCCCCAGTTTACTCAATGTGTTTCTGTTAGTACGGCACAGGATGCTGTTGGCCTTCTTTACTACTTGAAATCCTTGTGATTGCTTTCACTGGAGCAATAGGAACCAAGGAAGGGGGTAAAATTCTCTAGCGTTACGTTAGCTGAGACACCGTAGTTTTGTTTTGTATAAAGCAGTCCCCAGTAAAATACGAAAAATGCTTTGAGAATGAATGTTACTGTGAATTAAAAAACTCTCAGTTCGGAGAAACCTTCTCTGTAAGCTCATATGCTAATGTTCTTTGTCTGTATAAAGAATATGGTCTAAAACCTCTAAGTATTTTGTTTATACTGTGATTTTCCTTAGGAAAACAGTACAACGGAAAGATAATTCTAGGGCGTAGCTAACTAGATACTGTATTTATGACTGCACTAGAAATCGGGATAATAAAGTGAGCTCTATTTAGACAGGTTTTTGTTTTTTTGTTTTTTTGTTTTTTTAAATCTAAAACTGATTATCATTATAATCCTTATAATCCCCGATTAGGACTTTGGTTCTTAGAACAGAATGAAAATGTAAACTCGGCGTTCTTAAATCTGGCACGGATCTGCTTGTTTTACATTGGTGTTCTTTACTTGTTTTTGCAGATGGAGTTGTAAGTCATCCTTGCCACAAATCTACATACTCGGTTCTTCCTGACGACTACAATTGGTATGTACGTAAATCTGCTTGATATATGGCCTTTCATATGGCAATTGTTCTAGGGCTACTTGCTCTATCATGAAGTTCTCATATGTATCAAATACCTCTTCTGTCAGTTTGGGATACGTATTATAACTTTAACCAAAGTATTGTTTCTGATTGTAATGATTGTGAAGTTAGTATTTCAAAAGTGAACATAATGAAAAATCATGCAGTAGTCACATTCTGAATGTGACGATGACCCTAGTACCACGACAGTTTTGTTTGAGGAGGAGCAAAAATAATTAAGAGTCATAATTTTCACTGATGCTTGTTAGGAAAATGTCCAGGCACTTTCATGCTGCTGCATGGGAAACTTGAGTAGAAACTGGAAAAGATGATACAGACTAGTAAGGAACATAGCTTCTATGACACAGATGCTATTGGGAAGCTAATGTGTCATAGAAGTTAATAGGGAAGGAAGATGAGAAAAGAGCCATACTCCCTCAAGGAACCTCTCAGCAGAATTTTGTTTTTCATGCTTATCATCTTCTATTAAATATAAAAATTGGAACCCCAAACAAAGCTCTGTTTCCTATTCTTTATCTTCAAGGTGCCACGCTTATAAAGGCATGTTGTCCTGGAGATCATTGATATTCATTATCCTTGTCTGCTACATTTTTTTTATATAATTATCTGGTGTTGCAGACTTTTTTCCAAACCGTATTTCCAGATATCCTTAATGCTTTCTTTTAACCCTTTTTCCCTTTCCATCCAGAAAGAAACATGAAAATATCTGGAGAACAACATGAGGAAGTTCAGATCATATATTTGTGCCTCTCTCTGCTCCACCTTTCTTAATAAGAGATTATTTTATATAAGATTGTTACGAAGCCTTACATTCGTAAGGCCAAAGCAGGGCCAAATCTGGTTTCCTTTATGACTTGGGCTGCTCAGTCATTCAGCATTTCTGAAAATTGTGTGGCATATATTGATGAATGTAAATCTTTATTTTTATAGCAAAGTGGAACTTGCAGTGACATCAGATCTGAAAACAATCGTCTGCTACCACCCGTCACTTGAGATTCCATATGAGCATACAAAAGTATGTCCAGACTTACAGAATTATATTTCCTATTCATGTGGAAGCATAAGCAGTTCTTAGTTTTGACTCTTTTGGGCATCTGTTTTATTTATTTGGAATACTGAGATACTTTTTATTATGTGACCAGCATGTACGTGAAGTAAGTGAATGATGACTGTAGCTGTTGCCATGAGGAGGAGTTTATTTCTACTAAGGGAGAATTGGGTTAAGAAATGCTCACATACCACAACATACATTAACTCAGATAGAATAAAGTGAAGCACTCAAATACTTGTGTTCTGCAGGAGAAACTAGGGTTGTCTAAGAGCATATTTTTCAAAGGGGTTAGGTGCTACGGGCAATGTTTGAGGTGCGTTATATAGTTTGCTCAACCTACTGTGTACAGATGCAGTAGTCTGGAGAAAAGGATATGCAGGAGTGTCGCTGCTGCTTTCAGCTCTCACAATTTTAAATTCCATTCAGCACTTGGGGATCATAAGCTCCACTAAAAACTCAACATTTTAAAATTTATTGAAATCTTATCCATCAGTAGTAACCTCTGTGTGTTGTTGACACTTCAGCTTGAAGAAGGTAATGGATACACTTGGATACACTTTTGTAGTCAGTTTCAGTTCCCACTTCTCACGTGCTGGTAAAATACTGCAGTGGTAGGTAGCTGTGCTGCTGAAATACGCAGTATGAAAATTCTCAATTGAAAACATAAAGTATTTTAGCAGTCTTTCCCTGTAAGTTACACATTGGCATATATATCATATAGATCTGTTACATGTCCTTAAGAAAATGGGAGTGTAAAAGACAAGGAAAATATTTGTAATGGTAAAATGTCTTATTGTCAGCTAATATACAATCAGGAAGTGTCATTCTTCTCCAAGGTACAAATCATGTAAAAGCTTTTTTTATCAATGTGAGTAAATTATGATAATATGAAGAAATTATAAATAGGAATAATATTAGTAGAATCAGAGTTTATGATTCAGCTAGTGAATTGTAAGCATGAGAGAACAGCAATAGTGGTGACTGAAGCACTGATTTAAGGATAGGGTAGTTACCAGCTCTAGCTACTGGGGTCATGAGATGTTTCTAGAACTGTGCTGTACGGTGGCATTTTTTGTTGTTGTTAGAGGGAAGGTAGACAGCCTTTATGCTTGCAAGCCTTCTTCCAAAACCGAAGGAATACAGCTCTTAACTACCGCTACTGTCCGCTCTTACCGATGTGACTTGACTTTTTGCTCTTTTTAAAAAAAGAGGAGGGGGGGGAAGGAAATACATTCACTATTATTTTTGTAGCCCATACCACGGCCAGATCCAGTAAATAATAAAGAAGAAACCCATGATCAAATATTGAAATCCAGATTGGATGAAAAGGAGCTACAGAACAAGAGAGGTCCTACAATTGAAGAGCTCAGCAAAATGTTTCACACAACAAAACATCGCTGGTATCCAGTGGGACAGTAAGTATTTTCTTTTCAGTGTTTTTCCTTTTGGAGGTAAGAGACAATATAAGAATGACTTAACTGGACTGGATTATTCTGGAAACTGGATTCATTATGTGACCTAAGATATTCTTAGCACATGGGCTACTACATAAAAATCTAAATATAATGTTACGTAAATGGAAGAATATAGTTTGTGAAAGTTTGAACTCTGCCCCTTTGACAGCCTTTGCAACTTTGTTCGGTAAAATATATCACTAAGTAGCAAATTTCTCATTTCCTCTTGTTAACTACTGCATCAGATTTTTTTGTTATGTTGCATAGGTGAAATCAGCATAAGAGAATCTCATATGTAAAATACCCTTGATGGACAAAACCGATTCCAGCTTGAAAAAACACACTGCCTATTCCTTAACTTTCAGAAAAATGTAATGGGATGCATTTGAGATGATTGCAGTGTGCATGGGGTTTTAGTTGTTTGTTTTTGTTTTTTTCATTTGCTATGGTAAAAAGTGTACCCTAAGTGTATCTCATATTCAGAAAGCTAATAAGAGGAGAGGGGCAAACTGTGTTTAAGCTTGAAGAGGAACTAACTAGATTCAGATATACAACTGGAAAAAAGGGCATTTTAGTTCATGTTTCTCCTTCCCAGTCTATGTTGTTATACCTCATAGCAACTGCTAATATTATAGCTATTGACAGTTGATACATGGAGAATTTTTGTGTCTGTGGAAAACTTTAGTTTTCCTATTTTGGAAGTAGATAGAAGGAATTAAGAGGTGGAGCTCTTTAAGGCCAAAGGGTAGCTGTCACTTCAATGAGCATCAAACCATATTTTCCTTGTTTTAGGGTGGGTAATTAGAGGAAGGTAAAGATATGATTTATTTTTGTTGGGAAGAAATTTCTTATTTTGCATGAAAATGTTATACTATTTAAAGTACAGTCTGACATAACTCCTTTAAACATAAAGTCTTTTTTCTGCAGCAATCATTTTAACGCAGGAAAAGCTGATCATAGCAGAATTAACCTCATGCAGAGGATTAAGAATGAACAGCAACCTTTGTACCTATTCAACTGTAGAACTGATTGGATTATTGTGTTCTTTTAGCAGATGTAGCAATAGAAATGAGTACTGTTATGTAACTTCATGAACAACAGAGATGACATCTAATGAACAGTGATAGGCTGTGTTTGTGTATCTTGTATTTTGCTTATTTGTATAACCTCTATAATACTGGCTGGGAAGAAAAAATCGGGAAAATCAGACTTTCCAAAGTGTGTGCTCACTGCAGCCCTTTTTTCTTTTAGGTATCACAGAAGACGCAAGAATCTTAATCCTCCTAAAGACAGATAATTAAGATTACTTCTTGTTCATCGTCGCTTTGCTTATTAATCTTTATTGGAAATAAAAAAAAATCCAGAAAGTGGGATATTGTTTAATCAACTCTACATGAGTATTTTAAGTAAAATATGCTTATCTAAATAAACTTGATTCCGGTTTCTTTTTCTACTTCAACTGGTTAACACTGGAAAAACAACAGAACTGCACAAATGAAATAAGGATTCAGTGAGAATGTTGTACGTGCTGGGTCAGTGAAATACTAGTCTTCGAAATGGATATAGCAGGTGATAGTGTTCTGATTAAACTGGGTCAGAGGCTTATCAGTAGTAAAGTTGAATGCATACAAGTAGGATGTCAAAAGCTCAGACACACAACTGGACGCTTTGTGAGTGTTTTTAGAAATCTATTAACTGAAACGCAGGTGAGCTTGAATACTGACGCTTAAATAACTTCAGGTTATTATCATGTAGTGAAGACTGGCCAACTCAGTTAAAGTTCCAGGGCATAATAACTCGCCTTTCTAAATCATCCAGCATACCCAAATAGCTGGAATACTTGTGTGTGCGTGTGTGTTTTTTCATCCAACTATTATTTGATAAGGATGCTATGCTCATGCATAAATTGCATAGCAGTAGCTCAGGGGAGGAAGTGTTCTTTGCCTTAGCTAGGCAATCAGGGAAGACTCACAGTTCCTTCTAGCTTATGAAGGGCCAATCCTCCCCCTCTGTATACCCAAATGCTTTAAATTCCATGAGTGTGGTTAGATTCTGCTTCATAGCTTAAGTACTTTAGGCTTCTGATATTAAAACATTCTACATAATCTACTGTCTTTCTCAGGAATATGAGATTCTTTACTCCCGTCTACAGTTTTAGGCATCAACTCTTCTGAGAGAAAGAGCTAGCCTAGAGCACTGTGCCTTTGCAGAGATCCCATTGACTTCACTGAGTCTTGTTAGCAGATCCTATTAAATAATCAGGAAAAATTTTAGCCCATATATCTGCTGTTAATTTTGATTGTATTTCCCTTCCAAAATGGCTTGGATAAGCTAGTAAGGTGGTGATGGTTTTGTTTTTTTTTTCTTTTTAGTCTAGCGTTATTTTGCTAGCATGTGTTATCTATAAATTTTGCCTAGAAGTTGGGTACCATATAAAGTCTAGTCCTGGTCACTTTAGTATAAAGAATACCTATTGCTGTAGATACTCCTAAATATCCTATTTTCCTTGAATGATTTAATCACGTAAAAGTGCTATTATATGCATTCAAAAAGGCACCCTTTAAATATTTGTGGAATATTGTACAAACAGCTAATGTAAGTATTCATCTTGAATTTTTTGAAAATGCATTTTTAAATCCTAATGACAGCTAGTTGATAATGGTCAGCACAAAATAGTTGTGCTTCCTCTTTCTGTTAAGCTTTTAAGATACCTGATTCTCTGTTTAATCCTACATTAGCCCAGTGACTTTGGCTCCACATTATGTATCTTTAGCTTACATGATAACAAACATGCTATCATGAAGAAATGTCTGCTGTGTCTGTGAAAAGGATGGCTGCTTAGTCTGCGATTCTAGTTGAAAGGAAAAAGTAATTCTTTCTCCACCTGGACGATCACTTTTTTAACAGTTTCTGAGAATGAATGGTAAAACAAATTTTAGTACTTGTATCAATTCATGCTGCACGGTACTGACATTAGTGCCTAACTGGAAAGTTTATAGCTCAATTCTGAAGTGTTTTGGTATGTTCCACTGTATAAAATTGAGTGTCTCCCCAAATGACAGTCCTAGGAGATGTGATTAACATGATGTCAATTCTGGTTAAGCTAATCAGATTTCTTTTTAATATATTTGTTCTACACCTTAATATCTTATAAAAAGCAAATTAAACTAATGCCGCCTTTGTAAAATTTTCTAAGAGGAATGTTATTTAGAGTATATCTATTTGTAGTAATGTCCATTTTTCAGCTGCTAATTGACAGTGACATTGGCTGGTGAGGTACCGTACGGGTAGCTGTTCCCCTGGTGTAAACTGCATTGCCATGTTAGAAATGGCCATCTGCTTTTCTAACTGGTATCGTTTCCCTTGCTGGTATTCCCCAAATACGTTACGCATCCTTTATCTGAAATGCCGTGGTGACAATTACAGAAAACCCTAGAAGTGATTGGTTTATGATGAATTTTCAGTAATCGCTCACTGCTTTTAGTGTAAGTATAGCCTTGATCTAAATTAGAGAAGAGGAACAGTGGGAGTATTGGCACTTCATTGGATGATGCTGAGGAGAAAGAATGAGTGCAATCTCCTTATTTTTGGAAAACTAAGACCTAATTTGTCCAGTTTATACTATACTGTGATTTAAGACAAAACATTTTTTCTTGGATTAATTTAAACTTTCAAGTTTTTTTTTCCTCCCTCCCACAGACACTTCTATTTATTTTTGCCGAATACTATTAAGACAGTTTGAGTTACAGAACCCTTTTGTTACCATATTATTATTGCTCACTGTGTTTGTCTGTTCTTGCCTGTCAAACTTCATTTACAGTTATTCACAGTCACTGGAGAAATCTTGGATTTCTCTATGATGTCCAAACATTTTTGGACATTTCCAGACATGCAGGGGCTAAAAATGTCTTTTATGTACTGCTCCCCTCAATCTTTCTGTGCTCTTTTATGCTGGCATTTCTGCTGGATGATCCAAAGCATAACCCAATTAAAATCCTATTTTCACAATAATTCCTAGCTTTTCTCCCGATTCTTTATTTGTTGAACAGCTACATAAAGATCACAGCTGAAGAAGAGAATTTAATTATTGGTTTCTTTTCACTTTAAAATTTTGATTCAGAAATTCATCTGTTTGCCCATTTCTATCCAAAAGGATGGTCCATTTAAAAGTCAGTTTGAGATTTCTGTTTCTTATTTTGTTGCCCTTGGTCCTTGTATTAACTTTGCAGTTAAAAACTTATGTAAAATTAATTAAATCATGAGTCTGCTTTGGTGTCTTTGTATCCAGCTTCAGACACTTAGCTATTTGCTTTCTATCTAGTAGTTATCCAGTATCTCAGACCTTACCCGGTTCACTGCTGTGGATACTACACAGTTGGGTATTCTTTATTCCTTCGTCTTACTGGATATATTTTTTTTAATGCCTCACTAAAAGTCTCCCGAGGCTTTGGTTGCAAGCATGCCCTCAATAGACTCAATTCCAGTCAAATACCAAAAGATTTTTCCTCAAATCTGAGTGTAATTTAAATGGCGTGAATTATCTTGCTGTCCTAGTGAAAGGGAAGTTATTTCTCTTTCTCTACTTGCACCCCTACAAAAAAAAAAAAAAAAAGAAAAAAAAAAAGGGAAGCAACCCTTTCTATGTGCAAATTTCATCATTCTGCAGATTCCTGGTTTCTACCACCAGGAGGCAACCTTGCCCAGTAACGCAACTGGATGGGGCTGAAACCATAGAGAGTGTAGCTGTGTTACCGACCGTAACGCTGTAAGAGAGGCATGCATTAACTGCTCTTCAGTAAATTTGCAAGTACTTAAAAAAGGGAAGTTTCTAGCTGACTGCACCAATACCAGCAGAAGCTGACGTCTGCAAGTGGTTGGATTCAAAAGAGTCACAGGTCCTTTTGCAGGATTTGTCTGTTTGCTTTCACTGATTTGACTTTTGTAATATATAGCTTAAATGTACAACTTAGACTTTAAAAAAAAGACAAATGGTATCTCCTGATTCTGGAAAAAAAAAAAAAAAAGGGCCAACAGTGGAGCAGTCATGGGACATAACTGCCAAATATGCCCACATGACAAATTTTATGTCTTTATGTATGCTTCAGTTCCTCATCATTAAAATAGAGGGTAGCAATCCCCCCCCTCCCCCCCCCCCACAAGCTTAGCTGTTCAGTCCTATAGAAAAGTCCTCATTTGTTTTGTTGCCTTTTGAAATAGGTCTGAATTTCGATTGCCATCTCTAAATTCTGCTATACTACAAACATATCACTGCTGCAGGTCCTTTATATGTCACAGTGATCATTACTGTTTGAAGCCAACGCTGCATTTTTAAGCTATTCCAATCTTTAGGAATTGTAGCATCTGCTCTGCTGTAATTTTCTCACATGCTCAGTCCATCCTCAAAAACATTGCAGTAACGTATAATAAAGGGATCACAGAAACATAGGCTACATCCTACTTCTGTAACTGCCAATGTGCATTTTGCTTTAATGTAACAATGTAATAAATTATTTGATTTAAAGCTCACCAGACAAAACAGTTGTTCTCATTCACTAGAATGGAATTCGGACAAATCCTTTACCTACAACACATAAAAGTTGGATTCATCTTTTACCTTGAGACATCTACTAACTGGACATCTAAGCCTGAGTTAATCTCCATAGGCTCCCTTTATAGTCATTCCACACAAGAAGGTACCTAAAGAAGGCAGCTCCTCCGATTTTGGAACAAGCGTCTAGAATAAGTCCTACAAATTGCTCTCTGGAGATGCTTTTTCTAACCCCTGTCTATGAAGGGAGCTTAGGTAAGATTTAGATGCCTATGTCATAGCAAATTGATTTCATCCTTAGAGACTATGTTTTTTCATAGGAAATGTAAAGGTTAGACTTACCAGCTTTTTTTTTTTTTTTTTTTGGTAATCTAAAGGAGCATTTATACAAAAGGAAAAACACTCCACTTACAGTGAGGATAACAACATTCTTGCTGCTTCTGCTAGACCTCAGTAGCATGTAGCCCATATACAAAAGCTCTAAATAAAGTGATGGGAAAGTCAGCAAGGTTTATAGGACAGGTAATCTCCTCTTGCTGAACCAACAGTATAGTTCACTAACGGTGAACTAAACTCTAATGACATTTTCCTTCACTACAGCGCTTTTAATTTCCTGTCCTTTGTTTTCCATATAAGTTAAAGGATAATGCACATACAATTTATTGAAGATGACAAATAAAATGTATGTAGGATTTCGCATTTCCTTATATTTAATTAACCCTCTAATTCTAAAAGGTAACAGTTAAACGACTGTGTTTTTGTTTCATTCCGTGTTTAGTCACTAACGTTGTACAACACCAGAAAGGAGCTATGTAGAAGCTGTACAGCCGAAACGCATGTTTGTCCAGCAATTTTGTGTTGCATGGCTTTTAGAGAAGTAAAAGCTGTGGCCTGGAATCTTGATCTGTTAAGCGTCATGATATCAATGAGAAATTATAATCAACGCCTCACATTTTATAAAGTTTTTCATCACATAAAGGCAATACGGGAAATGGGAACATCCAACATAACTGAGCAACTTTGCCAACTAGCCTTTGTGAAAATCAAATAAATAATGAATAAAGAAAATAGTTGTGCTTATATTCAGCTTTACTGTTTGTCAAGATGAAACAATGGTGCTGGCTCAGACCCAGTTTACAATTTTAAAGGGCACTGTTCTTGACTGCTGCGAAAGTTCACAGTCCTTCAGCAGAAGAATCTCCCTACCAGCAAAGTGTGAGATGCTGTAGAAAAAAAAAAATCTGGAAGAGCTGATTTTCATAATCACTTCTGCCAAAACTATTGAAAGTTAACCACATAACTGTCATTGAAAATTCAAATGAACAATGAGAAGTGACTGTGTTAAATTAGGCTGCTGCATCAAGTCATTAACATATAGAAAAAAAAACTAACCTAAGTAAAAATCTAAACTATTAAAGCATGACCCTGTTGTACTACAGGCATGTTTCCTGCTCACAAACCAGAGCTTTATAATCTCATGTAAAGATTAGTACTTCTGAAATACTGCTAGTCTTTCTCATTATTCAGGTTCATTTTGTATTTTCTTTTTTAAGCTAATAACATTTTTCTGAAGTCCACAACTATAGCAGTTGTCATAGCGGATCAGAGCTGTGCTCCAGCAGTGGTCTTCATCTTCTGCCTCAGTTAATATGAGGCACTGAAAATTGCAGATGAATAATAATCTAGTCCCAGGGAAAAATTCCTTGAACACTAATTAGTTAGCAAGTGGTCACTTTTGCAGCAGCTTAAGGGTTTGCATTCCTTTTCACATTTTTATAGTTATTCTGTAATTTTTAATCCTGTCTTAAGTCTGGATTCACTTGTTATTTCTTGAGACTACCTCATGTCTTTATAATTCTCTCTCTCCCTCCACCCTGATTTTTGTACAGTTAAAATCCTGCCATTAGTGACGGTGAAACTCAGGGTGGCGGAGAGTTCTACAAGTTTTAGAATCGGATTAAGAAATTTCCATAACCAGATTATAGCACAATGCAAACAAAATTCTATGGTATGTTTGCCATAAGCAAGGATAAGAATAAGGAAAAAGGCAGAGAAATTCCTTTGTAGAGCATGTATTTGTGTGTTCAGATCTACCAAAATAAACATACCACGTGTTTCATGTGTTGGCTGCATAGGTTACAATTCATCGACTATATATGGCCATATTCATTTAAGAAAAAAGATTTGAAATGTGCCCAAAGAGCTCACAGGTAAGGCTGAAAGGTGACACAGTGGCCTTGGCCCAGGACGCCGTGCCTATGACAAGCAAAGCCAGTCCCGTGGGAAAGCAGCCATGCCTCGTACCTACTCAGTGCGTAGCCGCTGCCTGGATCCTTGTCTGCTCTGAGGGCAAAATCTTACATCTCTGGAAATCGCATGCTGAGCTTTGCATCAGCATGACCAAAATTTTAACTCATGGCTTCATGGAAATGATGCATGAGAAGCCCTAACAGTGAAGGGTTTATCCAGACCACTCTGTACATCAGCTAGCAGGTCCCCAGCAGCAAATTGATAGCCGAAGCCCCTCTGAGCACATCCATGCTGCTGGAGGCTAGGGCGCTCCGGCTCACTTAGCCCTCCCTCACTTCCTTGCTGGCTTCCCCCCAGTTCTGTTTCAGCCTGTTCCCGCTAGTCCTCTTGAAAGCAATGGCTGCACGTCCTTCCGGGGAGAGCCCGCACCAAGGCTAGCTCCCAAGGAGTTGCACGGACAGGATAGCAACTTGCAGGACTCGACCTTACACCCTCTTCCAAACTGCCCAAGCTGACTGCGCGCCCTCAAACATGCCCACGTCCCAACACATGCAGTACGTACCCTCACTTTCACACTAGGAAAAGCCTGGCAGGTCGTGGTACAGTTTCGTGTTATTTTGGAAACCTGGAACTGAAAGATACACAAAACGCAACAGTTTCATCCCCTTACACTGCTATCCCCTAATTGATCCTGAAAATGCCCAGGGAGATTAAAACGAAACGTTAAGTGATTGTTCTGGAAGCATAACTGATCGGTCTTATTTGGGAAACTCTTTGGTTGTTGCTGTATTTGTTGTCAGCCAGAGAGGTTTCATTAACATCTCACCAGTAACTCCCACAAAGTAGGAATTTTGACTAGACCGTGAAAACTTCTAGAAAGAATCTGTTTGAAGTGTTGAGTACCTACATGCAAAACAAGTGGAAACAGCTTCACTTGCATTTTCTGGGCATGGGACTCCACTCCTCGATGGACAGAAAAAATCTGCCGCTGAAGGAATATGAAGAACTTGGGAAAATACGGAGCTGGTAAAAACACATGCAGTGGATCACACTGTCAGGGGGGTATAAATTGGTACAGCTTCACAGATTTACCACCATAACATTACATAGCACACCTACCAGGGGGATTTGAAGAGGTCTGCATGTGTCTTGGAGAAAGAGGGAGCTACAAAGGCATGAACAAGCTGAAACGGAAGCATGTGAACCCATTCATGTTTCAGCCTTTTATACGTATAGGGCCAGGCGTTTTCAAGAATAGCCTCACACAACCAAGCTCCCATTCACAGCAAGATTTTGCTGTGGACCTCTGTTAGTCTGAGACTAGGTTATGGAAAAAAGGTAAATTAGCTTCTGAAAAATGAAAGCAGCGTATCCTAGATCACCACGGCCCAAAGTAGAGGACCACACTGGAGAGAAAAGAAAGCAAAGGATGAAAGTCAGTGTAAAATACTGTATTTTCTAGCACGTAAGATACGTTCTTCACCTGCTACTTATATCA